CCTTGGGCAGGTCCGCTGCTATAGCTTTCCTGGTCTCGGGCCACTCTTCACCTCTCCCAGGCTGGTGTTCCACTCTGGATGCTCCCAAGCCTTCCCAACTCTGATATTTTGTGAGCCTGCAGACCTAACACCACGTGGACACTGCCAAGATTTCCAGCTTGTATTTTCCAAAGCTGCGGGTCCAGCCACACCTGAGGCCAATTTAGCCATGGCTGGAGCAGCCAAAGCAGCTGGGGTGCTGATGCTGGAAGCAGCTTCCCAAGATGGCCCTGGGCAGCGAGCCCATGGAGGGTGCCTTGGGCCTGTTCCCCAAGCCCATTCTGTCTCCTTAGGCCTTTGGCCCTGAAATGGAAGGGTTGGCCCTAGAGGCTTCTGCAATGCCTTCAGGGTCTTTTCCTCCTCTTCATAATCCCTTTCCTTTGTACTAATCTTAGCTAATGGTTGCTGGGCTACACCATTGCATGCGCTCTGCTTTTCTACCACATGGCCATGCTGCAAATTTTCCAAATCTTTACACTGTGCTTCTGTTTTAAATTCTGGCTTTACATCATGCCTTTTCTGCCATAACTCAGCATAGGCTGTTAGAAATAACCATGCAGCGTCTTTAATGCTTTGCTGCTTGGAAATTTCTTCCACCAGATACTCTGGTTCACAACTCTTAAGTCCCACCTTCCACCAATTCCAAGGGCATGGACACAGTGCAGCCAAATTCCTTGGTATGGTGTAGGAAGGGTGATCTTTGCCCCAATTCTTTTTTTTTTTTTTTTAAAGATGACCAGTAAGGGGATCTCAACCCATGGCTAGGTGTTGTCAGCACCACGCTCAGCCAGTGAGCAAACCAGCCATCCCTATATAGGATCCGAACCCGTGGCCTTGGTGTTATCAGCACCGCACTCTACCGAGTGAGCCACGGGCCGGCCCTTTTGCCCCAATTCTTGATAAGTTCCTCATTTTCTATTTGAGACCTCATCATCCGCACGGTCTTTACTGTCCACGTTTCTATCAACATTTTGGTCACAGCCATTTAACCGATCTCTAAAATCTTCCAAACTTCCCTCATCTTTTTCTCTTATTCTAAGTCCTCCAAACTCCTCCAACCTTTGCCCATTACCTGGTTCCAAAGCTGCATCCACATTTTCAGGTGTCTGTATAGCAACACCCCACTCCTTGGTACCAATTTTTTGTTTTAGTCTGTCTTGTGTTGCTATAACAAATACCTGAGATGGGTAATTTATAAGGAAAAGAGCTTTATTTGGCTTATGATTCTGGTACAGCTGCATCTGGTATGGGCCTCAGGCTGCTTCTGCTCGTGATGGAAAGTGGCAGGCAGCCGGCAGGTACAAGCAGATCACATGGCAAGAGGAAGCAAGAGAGAGAGAGGGTGCCAGGGTCTTTTAAACAACAAGCTCTCGTGGGAGCTAATAGAGCGAGAACTCACTCATTTATCCCCCTTCCCCCAGGGAGAGCATTAATCGATTTCATGAGGGATCTGCCCCCATGACTCATTCACTTTCCAACACTGCCACATTGGGGATCAAAATTCCACATGAGTTTTGGAGGGGACAACACATCCAAACTCCATCAGCTACCTTACTTTCTGCATGCTAGCTTGAGCCAGGATACATGTAAGGCCCACTTCTCCAGTGACCCAAAGTGCTTCTCTAGGCTTTGTATGTAGACATCTAGTGATGGGAGGACTTCCTCCTTCCTGACGACCCACTCTGTCTTCACACCCCTGTTAGAAAAATGATCTACATACCTATTTTTTCTTATTAGGGCAACATACTATGTCTGATTGCTCTTCCTCTCTCTCCTTCACGAGAGAGATACCTTTCCTAATATCCTTTCTTCTGTAGATGTAAATATTTCTATTTTTCCAACTATTCCTTATAATATTGGGCCTTTTCATAGTCCCAATGAAATATAATGGGGTTCTTCTATACCTTTAAAATGTAAAGTGCCCAGCACTAAATACAGGAGTGGTCATTGTCTACATTTTGCATATATTGCTTGTCATGTGATGCTTATTTTCATAAGCTTACTGTGAACCATTATCCCTGAATCTTTTTTTTCCCTGTGGTGATAACACAAGTCTTCATCATCCTGTCTTTCTGTAATGAGTTTTTTAGACCAAAGGTCATAAGGGCTGACTTCATTATCCTTGGCATCTCTAGTTATCTAAGTACTTGATCAACGTATCTTTTCTGTCTCTTTTTAGTTTCAAAAGCTGTTCCTCTGTTATTGCTTTTCTTCTACATGTTTTTTTCAGTGCCTGATTCCAGTTGTGTCACTTTGATGGATATGTATGTCTAAACATGAACCTCAGACAATAGAAAAACATATATTTGCAAAGCCATGAGGGAGTATGATGTGCTTGAATCATGTTGAACTTCAAGAATCATTCTTTTTCTTCTTCTTTTTGACATTTAATTATACATTTACTAATTTTAATTATACAGTTTTCTTTTGGTATTTTGGAGCCAATTCATTTGTATTTTCAGTTTTCTCTAAATTTTTTGCATGCTTATGAAAAGCTTGCAGGCCCCAAGTACTGTGTCTTTAATGCTTAGTAGGTAAAATGACCCTGGGGCCAGTGAGTAAGGCAGAGGCCTAAACAGGAGGCTAATCCTTGGGCCTCCGATTCCTAACTGCACAATTAAATACTTGCATTGATCAGGGAGCTTCCATCTGTGCTCTGTGGAGTTCTAATGAGCCTCTCAGTGTACTGCAGAAGGTCAGAGGATGAATGAATGGTTATACCTTCTACATTCCCCATTTCCCTCAATAGGAGAAGTTCCACTTTGATTTTATATTTTGAGGTTCCTCATAGGATTCTGTTTAAAGAAAGGGCTCTGCTTTAAAGAAAAAAAAAAAGGAAAAGAAAAGAAAGAGAAAGTGGCTCCCAGAGGACACTGGGAAGCTTTGAAGGTCTGTATATGTGTCTCCTATTCTGTGAGTTTGGAGGCCTTTTTCATTTGGTGAAGGGGATAAGGGGCTATGCTGTTTGTCTTTTCTTTCCCAAACCTGGAAATAACCACTATTATTATTTTTTTTTTTTTGTCTTTTGTCTTTTTTCCGTGTCCGGCAACGGATCGCAACCCTCAGTGTTGCCCCCGTACCGGACCGGGGACCGGCAACGGGATTGCAAACCTCAGCATTGCTCCCCCGCCGCGCTCATCCAGTGAGCGGCAAACACTCGGTGTAGGTGAACTCAGC